ATTGCTTGACTGTAGCCTGCTCTTACAACAATTTACTTGTCCCAGTATGCAAAAAGGAGAAACACACACAGTGGAAACAGAAATGGTATTAACTATGGACTAAGGCAGTGGTTTTTAAACTGTGGTGGCCAGCCTGGTGCCCGGAAATCTCCATGAAGTCCAGTTGGACCCATGCCAGTTGCAAAACGCACCTGGTGCCTGGCTAATTTCTGACACTGCTTGTCATTCCAGCCTTGTCAGCAGTGCCTAGATATTGTTGCAATTTTCGTGAAACTTTGAATTTTCAGCAGCAAGTTTAGTTTTGTATAGGCAGAGAGTATCTTTTAAACTAATGACTGCCTCAGAATTTTGTCAGAGAACAATATGTTTGCCCACTGCCGTACCTCTTTAAAACATTAAACCTTCGGTTGAAAGCACAATGCTGCAAATGTTTGAAGGAGGACTGTGAAAAGGACATTTTATGGCGAACTCTTTGTCAAAGAAGGGCTGGCATTCCATTTAAGTACATCATATAGAAACTTGTTTAATATTGTTCCATTGGAGAATCAATTCATTTTTTCTCTCTGAGTATACTTTTATTGTACTGTGGCATAATTCCAGAAAGCTGTTTTAATTGATTGGTGAATTCAATTTAATACACACACACAGAGAGAGAGAGAGAGAGAGAGAGAGAGAGAGAGAAAGCTGTGTATTGCTACAAATTTAATAGAGGTCTTAAACCAAGCTATTCAGTAGTGAAAGCTTTAAAAAGCACTACAAGTCCTTTCAGTTACTTTCAGAAATGCATTTCTCTCGATTTTAGACTGCATGATAGACTTAAGAGCATCGTAGTCAGCAAGTACATTCCATCAATCTACCACTAAGATGAGGATAGTTAATTCATTGCCTCTTAATAAGTAAACTCTGCAGAATAGTCTTCTGAAAATTGATACAGTGCTACATCAAGACATTTGTAGTTTTAATTTGAGAAATATTGAAAATCAAGGGTTGATTACAGGAAAATTGTTACCTTCCCAAAAATAAGTGACTTCATACAGTATGTTTAAAAGACAACCTTGACCTTTCCTCCTTAGTTTAGTTCACATAAACCTCTAAGTAGATCTGCTAGAAGAAGAAGAAGAGTTTGGATTTGATATCCCGCCTTTCACTCCCTTTAAGGAGTCTCAAAGCTGCTAACATTCTCCTTTCCCTTCCTCCCCCACAACAAACACTCTGTGAGGTGAGTGGGGCTGAGAGACTTCAAAGAAGTGTGACTGGCCCAAGGTCACTCAGCAGCTGCATGTGGAGGAGCGGAGACGTGAACCCGGTTCCCCAGATTACAAGACTACTGCTCTTAACCACTACACCACACTGGCACTGCTACTTAAAAGACATTGCATAGTTTGGTGAGCATGCATGTTCAACCTTTGTTGACTGTGATGCAATATCACATGATTGCTTGCATGTATGAAACAGCCATTACAGATGAAACACCACAGAATTTTCATTATCACTTTAAATAAATATGGAAGTAATGATTCTCAATGGGAAAAAAACAACCATACACTTATCTCTGTGTAATCAAAGCAATGAACAAGCATTTATGAATCAACCATAAGAAAGCTACATTGGAATGGCATATTCTACAGAAAAGGCTGTGGAAAATTAGCAAGCAACTTCATAGTAATTTCCACCATTCTTCACATCCCACTCCCCGAAACTGTAGATGAACTCAAAGCCTAATCAGGGCCATAAGTTTGAGTCTGGCACAGAAACCAAATTCTCTACCTGATGAGAGCATTTAATTCTTGAATCAAGAGCATATGGGAACTATACACCAGATTCTAGATGGACTAGCTACATGTCTTCATCTGTACTGGAGAAGAACCTTCCATTGGAGAAAGCAATTATCCTATATGCTTGGAAGCTTGTTTGCTCTTCTAACTGGGGAGCTTGAAAGTTTTACTCTTTTATTTCCTTATATAGCTTTGTATCTTCTTGGTTTCCCCTCAGTGTATATCCTCCTTCTAGCCTCTCTGTGGGCTCATTCAGTTGATCAGCAACTGCACAGTCTTCTCTTTTCATGTGGGACGTGCTTATTTGAAAGCATCTCTTCTATAACTTAATACTACAATAGGATCCATACTCTTGAAGTTTTGTTGTGGGTAGAGATTTTTCACTTAGAAGTGCTTTCAAAGAAGTAAGTCATGTGCAGCTTTAGATGTATTTTGAGAAGACTGTACCACATCAGGTAATGTATGCTTGATTATGATGGGGAGGAGATTATTATATCCCATACAGCAAGCTCAGTGTTTGCCTCTATCTCTCCCCCCCCCTTTTCTTATTATTTAGATTCTGGGTCTAGGGCTTGCTGATCAGAAGGTCGGCGGTTCGAATCCCTGCAACGGGGTGAGCTCCCATTGCCCGGTCCCTGCTCCTGCCAACCTAGCAGTTCGAAAGCACCTCAAAGTGCAAGTAGATAAATAGGTACCGCTCTGGCGGGAAGGTAAACGGTGTTTCCGTGCGCTGCTCTGGTTCGCTAGAAGCGGCTTAGTCATGGTGGCCACATGACCCGGAAGCTGTATGCAGACTCCCTCGGCCAATAAAGCGAGATGAGCACTGCAACCCCAGAGTCGTCCGCGACTGGACCTAACAGTCAGGGGTCCCTTTACCTTTACTTACATATGACAGAGAACTCTACAAGCCACATCCCCCCCCCCTAAATTTAATAGAACATAATACTAAACTTGAGAGACCAGTATTCAAAACTAGTTTAGGGCAAAGTAAATTTATGGACTCTGACTGAGTGGTTTAGGTAGGGTCTTTTAGGACTCGCATAGTGACCCATGGAGGAAATGTGAAGGAGGAGATAAATTAGTGCAGAGTTCTTGGGGGCAGCGGTGACACAAGTTGTAATGAAATTAGACATCTAGTGAAGGGGAAGGAAACTAAGGAGACTATGTATGAAAAACTTGGAGGAGGTTGAAGCAGGAAGATGGAGCTCAGTGGGAGCATGAGGGGAAAAGAGAAAGGATGTGTGAGTGAGGAAAGATCTGTAGCGAGGAAAAGTGAATGCAAGGGAGTAGAAACTGGAAATGCAGCAGCAATTGTGGGAGGTATGCATTGCTTATGAAAGTTGGGGGCTCTGTAAGGGGAGGATGGGGCTGAAATCATTTCAGGGGGCCTTGTTGTGCTCTCCCCTACTGTACTGAAGCCAAAATTCTTCTGCTAGACCTCATCCTTAATTTACTTTACCTAGCCAAGAAGTCTTTATGTGCTCACTATGGCAACAAGGACTCTTTGCTTGTTTCCTCCTGAAGCCAGTATGAGCATGGCAAGTCCGTCTGACTGTGGGGAGAGCAGCTGTGCAGCAGAAGGAAGTTGCTTGACTGCAGTAATCGTGTTTGGCAGGTCAAGGGTGATTCCTTGCCTGCGGGGATTTGTACAATGCTGTGGGCTAGCAAAGTGGTGTTATAATAACCCCCAGATGTTTCCTCTACTTTCAGTGTATATGTTCTGCATAAGCCTAAAAATTAGTCCTAGAATAGGAACAATGAGAATTTGACCAGGGTGGGTGGATGGGAAGAAGAGAATAGCTGTTTGTTCCTTAAGAATTGCCTTTTCTGTACTGTATATTCTGTACTTCTTAGTACTGATGGCTGCCTGCTTGAAATAGAAATCTTTCAGTATATTTCTTGCTTGTGGCATGTCCGCAGAATAAGCCATTCAATTTTGATTTCATTTGAACACATGCACAACACCCTAGAAACTTTAGATTTTACAGTTCAGGATTTGTAACTGATATTTAGCCATAGCTAATACAAAAACCACCAAAAAGCAGGTTTCCATTTCTTTGTCATACTGATATATAGACAGCTTGATATGCCAAATCTTCTATATTACACTACAAAGAATCTAGCATAAAACTGGATGGCATATATAAAACCAAGAGAATTTAAAACACCAACTATGTTAGCTTTCATAGTTCAAAATCTAGATAGGAATTGTACCTTTCCCCCTTCTTCCTCTCATTATCTCCCCCCTTTTTCACTTCCTCTCATGTGTTGTCTACATTTTGAACATCAAATTGAAGAAAACTGGCTAGGCTTTTTTTTTTTTTTTAACTAACTCTGGTTTGCATGAGATGGATTTATATAGTTGAAAAAGTTGAGTTTCTGATACAGAAGTACAGACCTTGTCCCTAATGATATATCGCTGTCTTATTGACAGAAAGCATCTCTGACAGTAACTATATTTAGCAGCCTCTATCTCAGTGCAGGTTTTTGTAATCTTATAAACTTACTTCTTTCCTGTGATGAATTGCAGGAGTTTGCATTTCCTTTTGAGGCTTTACAAACCTACTTTCATACTAGTTTTTTTTATTCTTTATTGTTCTTATACAGCGCAGGCCCCCTGGGTAACCCAGAAAAAACGAATAAGAATAAAATAACAGAATAACTCTCCAAATGTGCTTTTTGAATTTCTTCTAAAGCATCAAAGTCTGAAATATTACATTGTCAAAACTTGATTTAATCCTGTCAAGATTTTTTTTGGGGGGGAATACTGTTAAGCTGTTTCATTATATCATCTACAAATTCCAGACAGAACCACAGCCTAGATAATGACTTGATCTATACTCTGCAATAAATACCTGACCTGGGTCTCATTTTCCTAATGCAATGTGTCCCTCTGCTTCTCTCTGTGTGTGGATTCATAAATCTACCAGCAGGGGGCTAATGATGTGTGAGATTAGCTGAGCTGCTTTTTCCTTTTAAAAACAAAAACCGCCCAAAAACATTTCTATCTCTTGCCCCCCCCCCCCCACATTTCTCTTCCTAATCACTTCCTTCTAAGCATCTTCCCATTTCACTTTTGTCAGATCAATATCAGTTTATTGATCAGGTTTACTGAAACAAAATGCTGGAGAATTACTGACTGTTGGATCATAGGCTTATAATTTGTAGAGTTGGAAAGGAGCCTGGAGGGCATCTAGTCCAACCCCCTTCCATGCAGGAATCTTTCGCCCGACATGGGGCTTGAACCCACAACCCTGTGATTAAGAGTCTCGTGCTCGATCAGCTGAGCTGTCCCAGGCTTCTCCTTGCTTTATCTAACTGGGGCTCCACACTGAACTATGGAAAAGGCAAACACACCTCATTGAGGACTCAGTGTAAGTAATCTGCCTCCTACCTTGTTAACTATGTATTCGGGAGAAAACAATATTGATTAATAACTAAGCTATCTTTGATAAAATAAGGTTGCAATGTATATTCCAGTAAAACTAGAATCATCCAAATCTTCGTGGTGCTTACTTTGTATATATTTAAGCTTTAAATATAGAGGCTCAGTAAGATTCTAACATACTCTAGTCACTGAGCCACCAGCCAAGTTAGTGGTGGTGCTCAGATTGATTTCCTAATAAACTGTTTTTTGCTGCAGATAAATGCACAGCATTCCTAGTACGTAATTCCCTTCAGTGTCCTTTTCAGAAGCATCTTTACAACCATAAACCTCCAACGATATAAGTTAAGGCAGCTTCATAAACCATTAAGGAAATTAAGGCAGGATATATTCTCGTAGAAAAAGCCCATTGAATCATGCATGTGTATTTAAAATACTTTGTTGGGAAGCAGTGGAGCAGATATTTGCTACCATTTCTCTTCTCTTCCCTCCCAAGCCATAACATCCTAATTGCCCCAAATTAGAACAGTTTTCTAAATGCATTGCTTTTGCTGAATTTCAGCATTTAGAGAGAAAATACTTACTATAACATCAGCAATGCTATGCCAACAATTATATTTCACCATCGTTGCAGGGATGCTGTGCTGGCATTGCAAGTAAATGCAGCTTAATGTATGTTTATATTCAAGGCGCCAATAAATAAATAAAGTTAAAATTGTGTGAACAATATTGTTTAACTTGGGAGGTAAACTGTGGCTGATTCACACTGCTGAGCTTCTCATTGTGATCAGGTGCACAGACACAACTGCATACATCTCAATGTACAAAACGGGCGACAGAGACAGTAAGTTTACAGGCATTTCTGTCACAGCTACCCTTTTTTTGAAATAATGCAGATGGCTGTCACTTTAATTGCAAAATATACACTGATTCACACTAGCTTTCTCTATGCAGTTGTGTGTCTGCTTAAATGATTACATGTAGACATTCAGCAACTCTTGGTCAGTTCTTACTTAATACTTTTTTGTGACATAACTACTGACCCATGCTAGGGATCATTAGGAAATGAATTGAAAATAAGACTGTCAGTATAATTATGCCATTATACAAATCTATGGTGCGACCACATTTGGAATACTGGTCGCCTCACCTCAAAAAGGATATTGTAGTGTTGGGAAAGGTTCAGAAAAGTGCTACCAAAATGATAAAGGGGATGGAGCGACTCCCTTAAGAAAGCTTGCAAGGTTTGGGACTTTTTAGTTTAGAGAAAAGGTTTGTAAGAGGGGACAGAAGTTCATAAAATAATACATCACACAGAGAAAGTCGGCAGAGAAATGTTTTCTTTCCCTCTCTCACAGCACTAGAACTCTTGGAGATCCAGTGAAGCTGAGTGTTGGAAGAGTCAGGGTGGATAAAAGAAAGTACAGTGGTACTTTGGTTGTCTAACTTTACCCATTCCGGGAGTCTATCCGATTCCCGGAACTGTTCGAAAACCAAGGCGCAGCTTCCGATTGGCTGCAGGAGCTTCCTGCACTCAATCGGAAGCTGTGTCGGATGTTCGGCTTCCGAAAAACGTTTGCAACCCAGAACACTCACTTCCGGGTTTGCAGCGTCCATGAGTCGATTTGTTCAGAAGCCAAGCAGTTCGACAACCAAGGTAAGGTAAAGGTAAAGGGACCCCCTGACCATTAGGTCCAGTTGTGGCCGACTCTGGGGTTGCGGCGCTCATCTCGCTTTATTGGCCGAGAGAGCCGGCGTACAGCTTCTGGGTCATGTGGCCAGCATGACCAAGCCGCTTCTGGCGAACCAGAGCAGCGCATGGAAACCTGTTTATCTACTTGCACTTTTGTGCTTTCAAACTGCTAGGTTGGCAGGAGCAGGGACCAAGCAACGGGAGCTCACCCTGTCATGGGGATTCAAAACCACCGACCTTCTGATCGGCAAGTCCTAGGCTCTGTGGTTTAACCCACAGCGCCACCCGCATCCCGTGACAACCAAGGTACCACTGTACTAATTCATGCAGCACATATATAGAACTAATTTCCCCAGGAGACAGCGATGGCCACCAACTTGGATGACTTTAAAAGAGGATACATTTTTTCTCTCTCTTTATAATGTCTTTCATAATGTTATGTTGGAAACTTTCTCTAAAGTCGTTTCCTGGTGTCTGCCTGAAGCTCTTCTAAGAAATCTGTTAAGAGTATATTGATCCTGTACTATGGATTTTTTGTGGCTTTATCGCGTGTAGTAATTCACCTAGCGAGGGTAAACTTGTCTCTGAATCAGGTGCTCATTTACACACTCATGAATTTAATTATGAGTGTATTTAAAGTCTCAGACTTGAGATTTTGAAATACAAACACCACATGGATTTAAGCAGGTCTGAAATTAATGTTGCTTTATTTCCATACCAGAATGGTTTAAAAGAGCTCATTCCCTTGAGCTTGTTTTGGATTCTAAATATATACTTTGCCATGGAGAGACATGGATGTAGGTTAACCATTTTAATGAATGCTGCGCATACCAACGCTCAGCAAGGTTAGACAGCTATGTGAGGCACACATTGAACTTAGAGGTCACTACCCCAAACATGGGACTTGTTCTTTAATTGGTCCATCCAGCTTCTCTCTGTGTTTCAAAGACAAGTGTGAAGGACATATTTAAGGACTCTGGAGACAAGAGGAATAGGTCTCCTGTTCCAGGAAAGACCCAATACAAGTCTCTTGCTCAGGAATGGATGGGGAAATGTAGAACTGGCTCTGAGACTATATGAGTAACTTTTAAAAATGCATTGAGAGGGCTTAATAGGATAAATCTGAATGGTTATTTCCCTCTACAAAGCAAAAGTAGCTAACCATTTAGATTATTAGTCTCCTGTATGTTTACAAAGCATCTCTAGACCTCGGAAGCATTTTCTCCTCAAAAGTCTTGTTCTTGATTCTTACTAAGTCTTGAGATCGTTGCCTAAACAGTTTGCAAATTTGTGAAAAAGTTGAGTTTTACCCCTCAACTTTACAATAAGCCTTTACAGGGGCTTATTATGTAAGTTTTTGGAATGATTATAAGGCCTGTTGTTTTTGTCCCATCAAAATAACTGAACAAAATTTAAAGGGTTTTGTTTGTTTTTTAAGCAGCCATGAAGATTGGCTGTCTGGCCATGTGGTACTTAGGCACAACCCCTTTAAAAATCCTGCACAGATCAAATAGTTTCTGGATCATGTCTTGATTTGAAAAGAGGCAATGTATTAATTCTATAGCAACCTATTAGCCTATGGACTGTGTAAAACATAGCAAATTACCAAATGTTAAGGAATGCAAAGCAAGCACACCCCTTACGAGAAATGCAGACACCCCTTCTTTCTTTTTGAGTGTTTGTAGGGCTCAAAAGAGGAAAAAGATTATGTGCTTGCTTTGCATTCCTTAATATATGGTAAATTGTTAAGTCTTCAATATGGATTTAGGAGCTCCTCGTGTGGTTTGGGTCCCCAGCATTTGGGACTTAAAGAGTTCTTTATTGACTTTATTGCTTGCTTTGTTTGTTTTGAAGGTTAAATATGGCCTAAGTAACATCATTTATATCTGACACTTTCTGTACTTTTCCATTTTCATCCGGAGAGACTTATGTTTTACTGCATATAGCAATATTCTGTATATTCCAATAAAAGGAATCATTTTACCTACTGTGGATGTTTCAGAGGTTCTTTGGAGAAACCAGAAAGTTTGGCAGCTAAAGCAGAGAGTTGATGCACATAAATGTACTTGGGCAGTAATGTTTAATTGGGAGAGGGGGATGTGCCTAGGGTTAAATCTCAGTGGAAACCACCTTCTGCTCTGAAAGTTCTGTTATCTATCCCTGACATGAGGATTTGATTTAAGTAACTTAATACAGAGGCACATGCAAAACATCTCTTCTCTATATAGCAAATGTTTTTTCTGTATATACAATCTCAGCTATTATGATTAGTCAACTTATATAGCAAATAAATATGGCATTTTATGAGAACTGGTTTTAGATACTGCATTATGAATTATTTTATTTTTATTGTATACGGCCTTGCAGATTTTTAGGCAAAGGATAGTATAAAAATATATCATAAAAAAGATATAGGAGATCTGAGTGCTAGTGACTGACAGTGTGTTCAGTGAAATAAATTATGAAACTTAATCCCAGTTCATGTTAAGGACCAAGCTGGATCCTCCATTATTTTATCTTGAAAAATTTGTTATTTGTTTAGTAGAAAGAAATTTTTTACCAGGTAGGTTGTATATTGCTACTACTGCTTACTACTTAATATTTAACATTTGCTGTACACTAGAAGAGGGCTGGGAGATTCTCCTCTTAAGCAGAGATACTAGTGTCAAAGCGTTAATTTCCTTAGATATGCCTATACTAAATTATGCCATTGAAAACAGCTTGCAGCAGATTAATGGCTGATCCTGTTTGACTTTAAAAAAACCAAACCTCTCTCTTGTCAAGAGGAAGACATTATTATCAAGTATATTTGCAGAATGTGGTTAAACTGTCTTTACTAACCACAAGCTATAGGCAAGCAGTTGGCAAGCCGCATCAAGCAGTTGGTCCCTTACCTTTCCCGCCCCGACCTGGCCACAGTGATCCATGCGACAGTCACCTCCAGGCTTGACTACTGTAATTCGCTCTACGCGGGGCTGCCCTTGAAGCTGTCCCAGAAACTCCAGCGGGTGCAGAATGCAGCAGCGAGGCTCCTCACGGGGTCTCTGCCATGGGAGCATATTCACCCAGTGCTTTTCCAGCTGCACTGGCTCCCGGTGGAGTACAGGGTCAGATTTAAGGTGCTGCTTTTGACCTTAAAAGCCCTTCACGGCCTAGGACCCTCGTACCTACGGGACCGCCTCTCCCGGTATGCCCCACTGAGAGCCTCAAGGTCCATAAAT